CATCTATGAGTTGCGTTCGAGCAGTCTGCTAAAAAAGAAATAAAAGTCCTCTGCTACTTCACTGCTTTTTTTACCTTCTTGTCTACGGTAGCTGTTGGTTACAGATTAAACAAGATTCAAATGTTAAGGATTGAGTGTTGGTTGGTGGATTTTTTGACAGACTCAGGCTAGCAGTTTTCCCACGCTTGTAGTCTTTATGCTAAGCTAGGCTAATTACCTCCCGGTTCCAGCTAATTGACAAAACTTTTCTAAGATGTTTAGATTACAGTCATTCAGCCCCATCCAAATGCAAAGGCTTATTTGATGGGATGTCTATGAGCCAATCACAGTGTTCAACATCATCAAGAGAGGACTGCAGTAGAGCCACGTCCCCTTTTTTAACAAACATGGCTGACAGTGAGGATAGATAGGCGCAAAGGGCACATTTGAGTCTATAAATCATACTGTTAGAGTACACAGTTTGTCCTTTAACATCTTTTATACTAAAAATGAAATCTTATATTACTTATACATGTCAAAATATCATATGAAAGATTTACAGCTTTTACTCAGAATATTTTCAAAAACATCCACTATCCATTGGATGGACAGTGGATTTGAGTGTCACCGGAAAACGAATTGGGGAAATACAGTTTAAGTTGGTTCTCATTTAATATTCTAAAGATACAGTCAGCATATAATGCATCCTACTGATTATGTACACAGTAAATTTAATTTCAGGAGGTTTTCAACACACTATTTTCTTGAGATACTTCAGAAATTGCGGATATTTTGAGAAGCGTTGATAGGTACAATACAAAATGCATATATAATGCTTTTTTAAAGCATCACTTTATTCATTAATAGAAGTTAACTATTCAGAAAAAATAAATAATCTCATGTTTTTTGTAGAAAAAAGGTCTGTTTACCGTGATTTTTACTGGTGATTACTGGTGTTTTTTGTGTTCAGATTATTCGTCCATGGGAATGGACAGAAAAAATAGCACACGATAAAGTACTGTTACTAACAATTTATGAGTCCATTTAGACTAGAAATTCACCATTACAATATAGAGATTTTTTTTGTGTTTGGAACTTATTGGGTTCTGAGCAGGTTAACGTACTAAGTCAGTAAGAGGTTAATAATCTTAGCTATTCAAAAAGTTCCATTGTCCAGCCCTATGTGTATATGATTCTACACAGCACACTCACTTCACACACATCCCTGCCTAATGGACATTACACACTGTGCACTTGTTAATTTGGACAGATTAATTCACATGTTAAAGAAGAATTCATAAAAACCAGAGAGCAGAGCAATAAAGCGTACACTCAATTTTTACAGAGATTCCCTTCAAAGCCACTAATACAACAGAACTCCCCCTGCATTCGTCGAACACGCAGGGATGGTGAGATCACAGCAGAGCGCTGGGGGTCAGGCCCTCTGCACCGAGCATTTAAAAAAATGAACTGTAGGCATTTAGAGCCATAATAGATGTTGAAAGAAAGAAAAGGAAAAGGTTGCGGGGGCAGAGCCGGTGGTTGGGTGGGGAGGGGGAGGTGGGCAGTGCACCTTGACAGGAAACATAGAGGTGAAGAGCAGGAGTTGGAGGTTAGTTTGACAGAGAGAAAAGAAGTGGTGGTGGTGGTGGTGGTGGTGAGGAGAAATGGGGGTGGGGGGAGTGCGGAAGTGCCAAGCCCACTTTTAACTGAACCGAGGGTGGTGAGTGGTGGTGGGGTGAGGCAGAGGGAGGTGGGGGGGAGACAGAGATAGAGATCAGGGGAAAATAAAAGGGGTGTGCAGGGGAAGGAAGAAGGGAGGAAGGAGAGGTTGGAGGGGGGGTGAGAACGAGGGGGGTGCAGGGACCTTCTGCACCTTGACACTTGCTCTCACCACAGCACCTGATAAGTGCAATGGAAAAACGTCTGGTTTCCTCCTGCATGTTAAGTGGTTTATATTCTCCTCCTCTCCATGCAGCCTGTAGCTACAGTCTGCTACTGTACTGACGCTACAGCGAGGTAATAACAGACAAAAGGAAATGACAGAAAACCAAAGAGACAGGGAGAAAAAATAGCACGTATTGTCTCCTTCTGTATTGTTTCTTTCTCTTTTTTTTTATGATGAATTCTAATCTGCGTGAGAGATGTAATCTTTAAGTTGAAAAAAAAAAAAAGACAATCTAGAAATTTTCCTTTCTTCATCCATTATTTTTTAACACGTCCCTCGTCGTTTCAAAAACAATTTCTGCATCGAGATCCAGATGCAGAATTTTATTTGCTCAACAGAGGATCAGATGCAAGCGGATATATATCTTTACTACCTCATGCATGTACTGACAAGGAACTCATTCCCATGATTTGTAAGTGGGTCTCTCCACAGAACAGCATTAACAATATTCACTTTAGATAACGTATGATTCCAGGCCCTAGGAGAGGATGGGTTTCTTAGAAATGCTTTGTTAGCACTCTCCCCCCCTTGATAAATGATTGAGGACATGTGGCCTGAGACATCAATACAATCTCTGTTGTAATTAAAAAAAGGTGCGCACCAACAATATTACACTGCTTTCACTTTGTCTGTCTCTCCTCTCTCTCTCTCTGTTTCTGTCTCCCCCCCCTCTCCCTCGCGCGCTCACCCACTCTTCCTCTCATTGAGCCCCAGAGCAGAGAAGAGATAATTCAAAAAGCACTTGCATGGAGTGAAACATGAAAAAGAGGAGACATATGAAATTAAATTCTCTCTTTTTGCTCTATTGTTCTTTCATTTTCTCTCCTTTGTTACATAAATGCATAAATGCATAAAAGCAAGGCAAGCTAGATTCTAATTATGATTTTCACAATACTAAAAGATTTCTTCTTTTTTTTTATTAAGAAAAAATGAAAGAAAGGTGTCACAAACAAAGCAGAGTTACTGTTCCAGCACTTTGTCAAAGTCAAAGTGCTGCAAGTGCTGCATCGCTGAACTTCAATAAACTTTTTCTTTTTTCCAAGCGGCCTTACAAACAATTATATAATGAAACAGTTAAAAAACGAGACTTTGATGCCCTGATACAGGTGCTTTACGACAAAAGAAAAGAGAAAATCACCAAATGTTTTATTTCATTTAATCAACGTTGCTCTTCTTTTTATTTTTAACCTTAAAACAGGTTTGTAGCAGAAGCACTGTCTGCAGAAAGCCGCTGCATGCCTTTGTTCTGTGTGAACGCGAACACAGCGGGAGGCGGTTGGTTTGGCCTATCAGCTGCAGCGAAATGCTTCTGCTCCCATGCAGATACCACACAAACCACCAAGTCTGATGGGTGCTTTCTTGAGAGCCTTGTGGTGGCCAGCGATGGTTTGAGGATGAGCAGGTCTCTCAGGGCAAGCGTGGGAAGATCCCGTACCGTGAGTAGTAGGGTTGGGTGTCGAACTCTGAATCAAATTACATCGGTACAATCAAGTAACGATTCACATTAAATCCATCTGTATCAAATGCAGTGTTGGGCAGTAAGGCGTTACTATAATAATGTTACTTTTTCCAGTAATGAGTAGTGTAACTAATTACTATAACTTTCAGTAATAATATTACAGTTACTACAAAACCAAACAACTCGTTACAACATTACTTTTGTTATCAGGCCAGCACTGACTTGAAATAAAACATCATATCAGCGGACTCATTTTCGTAATCGTCTTACTGCGCACACACGTTATAAAGCAGCAAGCTAGTTGGAAACGCTTAGCTTAGCGGCTGGAAACATTCCCATTACTTTGATTTTGTCGGAATGAACGATGACAAGAACACTGTTGCTGCAGGTAGTCGCACTAAAACTCTTCCCACTGCAAAAACACGTCCTCAAACCTCTGGTCGGATACACCTACTATGACCAACAACACAACAACATGAAGCTCCAGGAAATACACCCCACCAAAGGTGAGCCCTCCTGGGTTGGCTGTAGCCCTGCACAGGCCAAACAACCAAACCTGGACTTTATTTGTGTACAGCTGCAGCTACGAACACCAAATGAAGCTTATGGCTAGATATGTGGTGGTTGAAATGTTGCTCCATGAGCCTTGGGAAAATACCGATCACGGGCAACAGAAAACCCCCAGGTAAATAGAAGTTAACTAGCCTTAGCTACACTTAGCGGTGATTACCCTGACATCCACACAGAGGCACACATCTCAGTTTTGGGAAGATCCGCAATTACCATTCTTATAGGGTGTAACGGAAAAGTAATATAAAGAGTAGTGTAACGAATTACTGTTGGCAGGGAGTAATGAGTAAAGTAATATTATTAATTTTGAAAAGAGTAATAAGTGTTTGTATATCAGGGTGAAAACACTGGATTTAGAAAAGAGCTCCCAGACGCCTGCAGGCTGGCCACGTAGCTGCCGGCTTTATAGGCAAAAAAACAGCTCTCTGACTCCTGCTATGGTTTCAGCATCTGGTTTATTTTCTTTTCTATATTACTTTAGTAATAGCCAAGTATCACTGCTAGACAAGTATAGACACACTCAGACAGAGACAGACAGAAGATTAGCTCTGTGTGATTAGAAAAGAGCAGAGGAGCAATATTGCTTTTCTTTTATGCGTCACTCCTGCAACTTGCTCAAGAATTTTTGTTATTACAGAAATAACAGAGCACTGAAATAGGTTCTATTGGTATCTGTTCACATGTGAATGGTGCCCAACCCTAGTGACTAGCAGTGGGATGAGGAGTTAGACGACAGGGAAGAAGTCATGGTAGTTGAGGCAGATGCTGCTAGGTTTAAAACAATGGGATGTATGGTGATTGTCCTCTATGCAGAAGCTACTGTGCATCCAAGGTGTGCACACTTCAGTTAAAAAAAAGCCTTTGACACTGCTTCTGTCACTGCTCTCCAGTGTTTGGACAGTCCTACTGTGCAGATGAGGGAAGGTCTCACTGTATGGATGAGGGTTTAATGTGGCATGTCGGTGCATGTAGGTGTGGATGAGACCTAGGGGTGAGGGAGCAGGGGTGAGGGGGGGAGAGTGGGCTGAGAGAGATGAGTCTTACCCCAGTAGAGGGCAGTCTCTTGCCGTCAGGGTTTGGGCGCATGGGCAGGGAACTGTAGAGCCTCACACCTCGATCTGCAGCACCGTATCTGCTCTGGAGGAGGAGAGAGGGAGATTTTGAGCATAAAGAGTAAAGCATATGTAAAACACATCAAACACAAGAATAAAACCAGAGTGAAAAAATGAATTAAATGTGCTCCAAAGTAACTTAATTTCGAAGTTACTCAAGTTTTATTTTCTCAACCAAAGAGCAAGGATCACACATAGTTCTTTTCATGGTCCTCATTTTGTTTACGAGTGCTGGTTTCATAAATTTCCGCCAAGTCGGAGAGCCTGCACATTGGCTGCCATGTTAAATCACATCACCTCATGGTGATGTACCACACATAATAACTGGATAAGGTTGGCTCAGTAGCGGCACTAATGTAACTAAGCTGTTGTGTTTGGTAGCCAGGGTTTCTGCGCTCTGCTCCACTGTACTCCTCTGCCGACTCCATCTTTCTATACGTTACACAGCTGATAATTAGAGTGTGGTGGGCCGGCTCCTCCCTGTAATTGCCCATGTGGGTTTCAGCTGTACAACACAACCTGAGGGAGTGGTGGCAAAGCCCTCAGTAGTTGGGAAGCTAATGATTCGCAACAAGTGGTCCCTGCCAGGGAAAGACAGTGCAGCTCAGTGTGGTTCACACCGTGGCCCACAGCCTCAGCGGGGGTTACATCCCAGGATTCAATTCAAATCTCACTTTCTCTATCTCGCTCCTTGTCTTCATCGCTTTCATCACTTCCCTCACTCAACTATACACATCTCGCTGTACCTTGGTGATTTCTTGATATTCTGTGAATCTTGCATTAACATCTCTTTGTGGTAACATCTGCTTAACAGTTTGCATGTTGTTTCTATCATCTGACAGTGATCACCTATTGTCTCCGTGTGGGTGTTAATTGATAAAACGAGTTACATCTTTTTCTTTTTGGTGTCGGAGAGTCTATTTTAGCTTCTGTATGGTGCCAGCTGTTAGAGCCCTGACACACCAAGGTGATGGTCCGCTGTTAGTCAATGCTGGGCCGTGACGTTGGCTCTAGTCGGCCCTCGTCCGCTTTTTTTCGGCTGATTCAGCACCCTGAATCTGCGTCAGAGCTCGTTGGTAAATGAAATCACTGATCGGCAACTGAGCTCAGTGCACAAGAAGAGAAGTAGGGAGAGCAAACAAACAGCTAAAGTCAAGCAGACATGGGGCGCTTGGTGGCTTAGTAAGTAAAGCAAGCATCCCATGTACGAAGGCAATGTCCTTGCCGCAGCAGCCATTGGTTCGATTCCAGCTTGTGGCCCTTTGCTGCATGTCATCCCCTCCCCTTTGCCTATCTTATAAAGGCAAAAAGCCAAAAAAAAGTTTTTAGCCATTGAGCTCTTTAGCAGAAACAGTTCGAAATTGTTTGTGTAATTGTTCGTTGACGCACGGTAAATATGCTTTCTTCTGTCAACATTGGGTTGTATCGTTCATGTGCTAACTGGCTAACTAGCATCTTGAATCTGTCCTATTGCTGGTCCGTTTTCCCATTCTGAATGACGACTACAAACTACCGCCACCTGCTGGTATCCCTTTTGTGTACGTGCTAGTTGGTTGTTGGCTCATGTCTTTGTGACGCATTCAAGTGCAACTTTATGGCACAGGAGACGTAAGGCGACACAACAGTCAGCCTTTGTCACCACTAGTTCTTTGCTGTTGCTTTGGTGTGTCTGGGCCATGAAAATAAATGCTGCAACCGGTGATGTGGAAACTGGTTTCTCATAAATAAGATAATAAAACATGAATTTATTTTAGTATATTTGGTAATGACTACTACTGCCTGCTATGTATAGTGCTTAATGGCTTTGCCACATTTGATACAAACAGTCTGCTAATGAGGATGTGATGTAGATTACTGAGGGAGAAAAAAAACAGTGCAGCAATCTAGAACAAATAACACATTATCTCTCTCTTGTACTTAATCTTTTACTTGCTTTATTCTGTCTTCCCTTATTCTTTTTTGGCATTCAGTCTGTCACCTCACTCACACGCACTCACAATCGACAAAAATCATACACAAAAACACCCAGACACACACAGGCAGGGCCTCAGATTCAGACAGACGCAGTATTTGACTATATTTAACAACTGAGTGAGAAAACAACCAAAACTGACCCTGTTTTTCACTTGTAGTCAGTCACATGGTACGGGCAAACACACATCCGGTGCGCACATGAGCGTAGCAGGCCTCAGCTTTTATAGTGGAATCGCCATAAACACACCTTTGCAGATTGCGTTTATGGGCCTAAATGCGTAGTGATTACCTCGCAGTGAAACCCGGTGTATGCAAAAGCTTATGTAACATACCGTGCATGAAACACAGTCGAGAAATCACAGGCTCAAAGAGCATGATTTATCCCCTATGAGCAGCGTTCTATGCAGAACAGTAACAGTATGCTGATCTAATGGCCTATCACACACAGTGTACAGTGGCAGCCTATCCCCTGAGGCAGAGTGAGAGTACTTGCTGTGTAAGGTTTTGATTTCCTGTGCTCATTATGAAAGGTGAAAACAGATGAGTAGACAGCAGTGGCCATCTCGTCGATATGGTTCGCATAATGATGACACGGCGTTATTAAAGAGAACTCTCATTTACAACTTTCCTTGATGCTGCACCGTCCTCACAACCAACAACTTAAATCACACAAGCGCCTATTCTGGATTTGCAGCATGTTTTTTAAAGGTGGATTTATGGTTTTCCTTTACATCATTAGAAAAAAGGTTCTTAATGAAGGGCTGCGGAGCCAGAAGTAACCCTTTTTTGAAGAAGGGGTTCTCCAAGGGTTTTTTATAAGACCAAGAGTTCATTAAGAACCTTTTCATCCACAGAATCCTTTTAGGAGAAAGAGTTTTTTGAGGATTGCTGAAAGCATGGGTGTTAAAAGATCCTCACCCCTTGAATATTCAAATGTTTACCCATGTTTCAAATGTAGATGAATCTAAATCCCCTTCATCAATTCATTTTACTTGTTTTCTGCCATAGTTGATACTTTAACTATTATTTCATGCCTTACAGTAGCACTTTGGTTCAGATAGACCAAATAAGCACCGTCCCTTTAGGAGGCTTTTGAAGCTGAAGGCCACTGGACGTTTTTCCGATTGGCCCCAGGCTAAAAGCATTATTAATCGTATAGGGATATATGGGTAATGTAGTCAATTACTGTTTTTAGAGCCCTGGGACAGGCTCAAGGTGGAACAATTACAACATAATACCTTTCATAGAGGGGCCATTGTTCTTTAACCTAAACCCCAGTTCAGACGAATGATTCATGACGAGATGAAACCGATTTAGAACGTTGCAGAAAAAAGTTGCAGCAGTGTGAACTGGTCGGTCGGAGTTTGATTCAAGCCAGCTGATGGTGTCACCTGCAACTCAGCTGGTCAAAACGCCAGTGGCTGGTTTCAGAACGTAAGGTACATCCCTGTTTCAACAGCCAGTCGGCTTGTGGTGAAGTCCACTGGTCAAGACAAAATGACCGCAGACGGCGTGCTGTGGCAGATGCTCTGTCTTCACCCAGACCTCTGTTTTCATCCTCACGGGGTGCCGGTGTCGGACAGTAGGTCGCTGCTGCTGCTCGCTGTATGTGCTTACGCCCCCTCACAAACACACACATTCTCATTGACTGATTAATTGCCGCTGGTTATTCACATTATTGTGGCGTATTTATTATGAATACAGTCCATGTTTTTCACTGTTTCATCACTACTACAGATGCAGCTGTAGCCAGTATTTCACTATCACTATCCTCATTCATATTTTAAGAAGCTAAAAATTATATTCAGCCACAAAATAAGCCTGAAAAGCTGGAAAACAGAACAGAAGTAGGGAGAGTATAGCGATGATACACTGTCTCATCTAGTTGCATTGGTGTGAACCGGCAGGTTTTTAGAACGTGCAGAACGGCACATTTCAACTCGTCTTGTCGCAAATCTTGGTCTGAACTTGGCTTTATATGTTGAGTTCTACTTAAAACCTCTGACAGGGTTCAAAGTGGACCCTTCATAAAAGGTTCTACTAGGATCCAAAAATGGTTCTCCTATGGGGACAAGCAGAAGAACCCTGTTAGGTTCTAGAGTGTACTCAAAAAGGCACTGTTTTTTTTCAAATTGTAATATATGTATGTATTTGCTGTTCATATTATTTGCAGTGCCATTCTAGGTCACAATCAGCGACATGACCTGGCATGTTGCGTCTCGCACATCCTCCAGTCAGACATTTCTTTCTCTTCCTGCCTTGCAGAAGAGCTACTGTACACTAACTGCATCCCTCAGTGGAGACTTTTTCTTTTGTGGCTTGTTAGGTAGCTTGCCAGCATCGCTGCTAAATGAATGCCTCGCAGAATAGCTGCTTTAGCCAGCGAAGGAGCCACAGTAAGTGAATGTTTGATATTTCTCCAGTGTGCCAGGCTAATCTGGCCCTGTGGCATGCCATTACTGGGCTAATAACAGCTGTCTGCGGCCTGGAGGGGACACAAGCAGGCCTGGCTGCGCTAACTGGCCCTGACAGACTCATTAGGAGTGCTGGCACCCAGAACAGCAACAGCCAAACTCCTCACATTTCCTTGCTGGCTCACAACAGTTTGCAAGTGCACGAAGCATTGTTCTCTACACTTGTTCTCTGACACCTTTCTTTTGTTTTCAAGTCCTCACTTCAGATGCTCTAACCCCTGTCACCTCTCTTTCACTTTCTGGCTGGCTTTGGGTTTCTGTGATATTTCTACCAAAACCAGATGCTGCCAGGAGTTTATCATCTCTGTTCGACACCACGTTGAGTCTCACCACTTTTTCTTTCTTTTTTTTAAATCCCGCACACCCACACTCTAGTTCTGACCGAAATAGAGCAGAAGGTAGAGTTCACTTGTTCGCTCACGCTTCTGTAGTCCTCTCTGAGAAAAGTAAAGGTAAAATAAATAAACACCTGAATAAATAACTCTGCAACTCACTTAGTTTCTAACTAACTTCAGTGTACAGCCACAGGAAGATGCTGCACCACACCAGGAAGAGGCTGGCATCCTCTGAACTTTGT